AAGAGAGATCCTCAACTGGCACATTAATTAGCTGCCTCATTTCCACTACTGGATTCCATATTCTATCTTCCAGTATTGCCAGTTGCAGCCACAAACATCCTCTCAGCCTGGTCCCTGACAGCTGCTCAGCTATCCCACCACGAAACACATTTGTTACTGCTCTGATGTTTCACCAATTTAGCTTAGGAACATGCTCTAAAATGGATTTCTGTGCCGACTGCACGCGGTACTGAGAGCATCCAAGGGCTTCAGGCACACATACTGCTTGGCTTTGCAAAAAAACCCAAACCAGTTTATTTAGGCAAGTGGATTTTGTAAAATGGCTTGATGAAATCTCCTTAGTTAATGTGCAAAAACTAGATCAGCTGCCAAAGTCGCTGAACCTTTACTCATTTTCCAATATACTACTGACCACAGCCTGGATGTTCCCTCATACTTTACCTGTACTCTAAGAAATCTCAGCCTGACAACTTCTATTGCCATGAAGCTGAACCTCCTTGTGGGGGGTGTGTAAATATCTCTATCTGTGCAGAGTTGGATCTCCCAGGTCCTTCCCCTGTTACATCAGGGAGTTGGGAGATGGAAAGGAGGGTTCTAAGGGGAGGAGGAGTGATGGAAATAGCAGACTTCTCCAAATATCTCCAAGTGATGAAGCCAAACCTTGAGTGGCTTCCTACATCCCATCTGCCTCAGGAATGATTGTACTCAAACCCCTCACTCCCAAATCCCCATGGCAGCTCTGTTATCATGGACAGTCTGGGCTGGGGAGGAGCCTGGGGGATAGAAATCCACTGAGTTCACATCCTAAGGGATGGGAAAGGAAATTGCCACTGAACAGAGAAATCAACACAGCAACTATGGAATCTGACCAGCCTGAAACCAGCACCAACTTCTGAAGCTGTTTGTTTGCCTTCTGCATCATTCAGGAACAAGCATTAATACATGTCACTGGTTGAACTTTGCTGACAGGAGCCAGATTAAAACACTGCTGGGCCTGCAGCTCTCACTGAACTGAACTGGAAGAAAGTGTTCCGTTGGCAAACTATAAACTATGGGAATATTGAATGGTTTGCTAGAACAGAATTCAGTTGCAGAGACATAAGTGTTTTCTGAATATAAAACTGAAATTAAGCCTTAATCACATTTCTAGAAAAGTTTCAGTGTGAAGTAATTTTAGAAGACTTTCAATAACACACAAGGACAAAGAACCTTCAAATACTCTGTTTTTACAAAGGGACAAGGATGTTCTCATTTTAAATTATGCCACGGAGCAGAGAAGAATATAAAGTGTTTGATTCTACTTATACTGCAAACATTCATCTTGCTATGGTGCTAACTCAGTTTGGTAGTTGTGGCAATTAATGCTCAGCAGTGGCACAGAGCATTGACACAACCTCATGGCTTGGAACAACCAATCTGCAGGACAGTGAGAGGGATGGAACTCACACCCAGTGAGATATGAAGCCATCACCTTACAGATACAAGTGTTCTGGAGAAATTACAAGTGTAAGGTTGGATTAAAAACATTTGGGATGATCAGAGAAGGAACAGAAGGTAAATATGCACCAACAACACACGTTTGTCCCTGCAACTGAACACAGCATGGAAAGGACAGGTTCCCCAACTGCTCTGACCACAACCTACAGATCCATTTATGTACCTTCCATTACAGGATCATGTTTTCAGTTGCAATTTGTCTTCAGTTCTGTTGTATCCACCCCCTAAAAGGTTTTCAGATTGAAATATCCATCCTGTGCATACTAGACTGGTTTGGTTTGGTTTTGATTGATTGGGTTTTTCCCCTTTTACACTCAGTGCTCAGCTGAATTTAAACATCACCAAAACCCAAGATCTGAAGGTATTAGTTAGGTATTGCAGAGCAGGCAAAACAAATTTGAAACTTAAAAGGCATCAAGTAAAGCACCAACAATGAGGATGTAGCTGGAAATAGGACATCAATGAAACAAGAATATATTCTGAATTGTACCAAAGTAGTTCCAGAAAACCCACAATTAGTCAAATACTGTACTGCACAAAGTAGCAATCAGAAGAAGAAAAGCCCAATATTATTCATCTCTATCATAATATTATATCTTATTTCTGCTCTCGTTTTTATTTCTAATGCACATCTTACAATGTACAGATCCATCTTTTACTGCTGAGGTTATTTGATCAAAAGCAATTTTCTGAAGAAAACTCAGAGACTGTCAAAAATAGTAACACATTTTACAACCAACTGCAACTGTAGAATAATTTATTTCAATGTAAATCTTGCATCAATCTTTATTCTAAGAGCCCTAGAAGAAAAAACAACAACCACCCCAAAACCCAACCCTACGCACAAAGCCAAAGCAGGATCTGTTTCACTATCCATCATCAGAAATAACCAGCAGTCCCATGTTTCCTGTATTTCTGAAGCTTTTCCAAAGGCACTTTGACATCACAAATCATTACAGCAACTTCTCCAGTTTGGAAAGAAAATATTTTAATCCTTACATGATTCCTGCCTTGCAAGCACCTGCTGAAATGCAAACTCCTGATCTACAAAGAGCATCCCCAGCAGTTGCTCACTGAAGAGCTCAAACTAACACCAGAGTTACTTGGACCTGCAGTGCTAACTCTTCTCGTCTTCTTGCTTGGTTTCAATCTCAATTCAAATAAACATCCTTCACTTTTCAACTCTGATCTTGAGTTTAAATTCCTCCACAAAGGAAAAGGAAGACACAAATGCAAAAGGATTATCACCAGCACACTTGCTCAGTGCAGTTAGGTATTCATGGGGGACAAAATATGCACAGATGACAATGGCTGGGTGACCCTACCAGACCTATAGGAGTTTCAAAGATTTACAACAAACACCTTGCATAACATGTCTTTAATAATCTCCTTGAGCCTAGGTCTACCTAGGAAATCCATTTCTGGAGGTTCTATGTAGTCTTCACTCTGTTCCTAAAGGTCTACTAGTCTGCCTTTCTATTACTGTATGGATTAAAACCCCCAAACTCAGTCCAAAATGCTGGAAATCTCAAAGTCATCCTTATTTGCAATTTCAATGCATTTGTAGCAGTAGATGTGGCCAAACACTCTACACTGCAAACATCCTTTGCTAGCACTGCTCAACCTGGAGCAGGCTTGACATACAAATAAAAACTCAACTGTTTGTGAGCTCCTTCTCAGCACACACTCTGGTTTGGCTGGGATACTAAGTAACTATGTAGTTAACAGATATCAAGTTCTATAGGCAGTGGAAAAGGCTAGAAAAAGAACAGTCCCACATACTCATCACCTGCAAACCTGTACTTATATCTAAATACGTAAAGACAAAATTAGCTCTTACGCCACCGAGGAATCATGTGAGACTCATCACTCACACCTGCCTGTTCACTGCCTTGCACAGAAAAGCCATGGAGACAGAGCCAACCTTTGCCCACATCTGCACAAAACACAGCACCCCAAGAGCCACTGCTCGTGCACATCACTGGGGCACAGAGAGGTTCTGTCAGAGAAATCACTTGCAGCTCAAGCTTGAGCAGTGATTGTCAATGTTCAGCTTGCAAAGAAACCAGAGCTCAAGTATTTTCAGTCTATGCTAAAAGTAAAGTTGAGTGGGAGAAAGCAGAAAGCAACTTGTAAATCAGATTAAACCCAACCTAATGTTATTAAAACTGTTAGATGTTCCAAATGCAATACTGAAGTTCTGCAGCATAAGCATGAGTTTAAACCCAAATCCACAGACAGCAAATAGAAGAGTTACACATAGTAACTTCTTCCCAAACCAAGAGGTACTGGAGAGATGCTTTTAAAGCAAACATGCTTGTAAATGACTTAGCAGCAGTAAACTTAGGCAAAGGATGCTCAATCCAAATGCTCAGATTCCTGTAAAACCACAGGAAAAGGTGTCAGAACAGTTCTGTTTTAGGGCCAGGTCCAAGGGTTGTCAGGTTCACTGCAGG